ATTTATTCTTTTTGTTTTTTTCTGTTTTTCCGGTTTATTTTTAAATTTTTTATTATATTTTATAGTTTTTATAGTTGTTTGCTATTATAAATTTATTATCTAAGCAGTTTCTATTTTTATTAATTAGTTAAAAATAATATTTTTATTAATATATTTAGTTTTTGATATTACTATTATTATAAAATGACAATTTCTTGAAAAGTTTTCTTTTTTAAAGAAATGATGATAAAAATAAGTATTGCCGTTATATCAAAAAAGGTTGGAGAATATAAAACTGTTATTTATTTTTAGATAAACAAAAATAGTTCTCAAGAGAGTGGATTATTTAAGAATTACAGTAACTTTAAATGCCTCTTAATTCAATCATTATAAAAAATAAATGAATTTTATTGTAAAAATAAAAATTAGTATTAATTAATGTAAAACAGTTTGAGTTTATTTTATTTCAGAGGTTGAACATAAATTTTATTGATTATAAAAAACTCAAACTTGATTATCTAAGAAATAAATTTTAAATATCTAATAGAGCATTCTAATATACTTTAAGTTAATAAATCATTCCTTTATGTCTTAATTTGGAAATTTGTTAATAAAGATTCTAAAATATCTCTTCAACTTTAAAGTCTTTTTAATTATAAACACTTTCAGTTTAACTGAGTTATAAATCCAGTTCTTGTTGTTATTTGAATTGTTTTCAAGCAGAAATGAATGAAACAACCAACTTTTTAATTAATTTTTATTTTAGGTATCAAACTTATACAAATATTATAAAAAAACTATCAAACTAAAGTAATATAATATTAATTGCTACACCTTTTAAAATGGTTCAATGAAAATGTTACATACATTATAATTTATAATAAATTTGTTTTACGTACTTACATCCAATAAAAATATAATGCCAGCTAAATATTACAAAAAAAATTATTAATACTATACATTTTTAATATAAACAACCTTATTTCTTATTTCCCTCAAATAACTTCTCCATTTATAGTAATGCTTCAATTTTTTGATGTTTATAATAATTTAAATCAAGAGTAAATATAAATATCTTCTCTAATTAATTTGTTTTAATTCATTCTTATTACAACAAAACACTATAAAAATTTTGTAATGTTATTTTTTGTTATTTTTTTTAAAACAAAATTCAAAAATAGAAGAATAAATAAAATAAATGACGGAAATACAATTATGTTTTGAGTGTCTTTGATTGTGGATAATAAATACATTGAATGGATGATATTTAAATGAGTAGAAAGAAAAGTAGCATTTAGTAATAAGAAAACAATTACTTTAAAATAAAATTTATTGAAAATTAGTTAAAAGAGTTAATGATAACTGAGAAGGTATAAATATGTTATACTTAAAATACTCAACAATAATTCGTTAAAAATTATTAAAAACATTACTATATTATTATGTCCAATCTAGATAATATCATTCAAATAAATTTGAATTATGTCGTTCAAGATTCTCTTAAATGATGCTTAATTCCAAAAAATGAATAAATAAGAAGAAGGAAAGATAAATAAAAAAATTATTGTTTATTGCTTGTGTTGTTTCTTCTTTGTTTTATTGTTTGTGATTTGTTAATCTCAAAATTCTTTTTCTCTTTTTTCTATCAATGTTATCTGTTCGTTTCAGGAAGAGTGAATACTCTCTGATAAGTATATTTAATAACATATTTCTTTAAAATTACATTGAACCATAATAATTTTTCGTTATATATTTAGAAGGATTAGCTTTGCATGATTGACTCATAAATTAATATTGAAAAAACATTGACTTTTCGGGTTAAAAAAGGAAGATTCGAGTAAAGATTTTGTTAATGAAGAAAGTTCTTACTTTTCGGGTGGAGTGTAATGATAAAATAAGAAAGGATATTTAATAATAAAAAGAATTTGTGACTTGAACTTTTAGTGAAATAAATAAAAATATCTCGTTCTTTTGTTTATGTGTCAAAAAATAGACTCAACCATTCAACAAAAATTCCTTTTTTCTATTTTAGCTTATAGTCATAAAAGAACATTGAACTTAAAAGTTTTATTCATTACTTTATATTCTTATGAACTCGGAACCTTGTTTATCAATACGTCAAAAAATTTTATCAGAACAACGAACAACTCGTCTTACTATGGATGAACGACTTTCATTATTGTCAATACCGTTAGAAAAGGAAATTCCTCAGACAAATAGCCTGCGTACTACCTCCCATTTTCCAAACTGTTTAATTGAAAGATCATCAAATTCTTCAAATAGTCCTATTAATACTTTTACTGTTCGTTCACATTCTGAAACTCAAACCCCAAGAAAATTTGTTATTGGAAGAAATAGAGCAAAGACCAATTTAAGTCAAATTTCTAATCTTCTTAGTCAAGAATCAGACAGGTTTTCAATTAGAGAAACTAAAGAAACAAAAGGACTTTGGAAAACAGAAGACTATCATGAAGAATTACCAAATGAAGTTAAAACACCTTCATCTCCAAGACAACGTTTTCAAAGATTAGGTGAAAGTGAACCTATGCTTACACGATCTTTAGATGAAATTACTGTTGATTTAAATCAAAAATTAGAGAAAGTTGAATTAAATGTTGAAGTCAAAAATACTACTTGTTTACAAAAGAAATGTAAACTAGGAATTCGTTGTAAGACTGAGAAAGTTTTAGCAGATTCTCCTGCTTGAATATAGATAAAATACATAGGAATTTACATAGGAAGTATATTAGACAAAACTAAAGAAAAAATTTAATTAATTTAGTTTCATTGTGTATTAAATTTAAATTAAATTATCAAATACGTCTCAATAAAATTGATGTGGTTTTTATTTTTTATTTATTAATGAAAAAGTATATTTAAGTATTGTCTTAAGAAAACATAAAGTTAATAATTATTAATAAATTAATCGTAAAATGAAGCTACGATTATAGACTTAATGTAATGGTAACTGTTTTGATAGAAAATATCTTCATTATGATATGGTGGGAGGTGTTTAAGATAAATAGCTAATCCTTCACTCATTTCAGTAATAGTATGATTTCCTGATGCAATAATTACATCATGACCAACTTTAGCATCTCCATTTGTAATTTTTAATCTTTTTTCTAATCTTTTTGAATGGTCAATTACAAACACTGTATATTTTTGTCTAAAGACAACTTTTTCATTTATTAACATTGGAGGCTCAACTTCATATGTTCCAAATGTTGCTACATTTGTTTCATAAAATATCATCATAGATGGCATTAATGAATATTGTTTTAGTATTTTGGGGTTAATTTCATTGCCATAGGCTTCCCATACAATAGTTGAATTTTTAAATGGAGTCCATCCTAAATAAGCTGTTGGTGTAAATTCTTTCTTTTTATCAGCAATTTTTTTACGAGGAGTTTCTTTTGTTAATACAAGCTCTTTCATAACAGCACATTTCTTTTTTCTTGTTTCTTGGGCTTTGTCTTTTGAAACTGTTCTTGTTTCTCCACTTCTAATAATTTGGTTCATAAGATCATCCCATTTATGTTCTTTTTTTAATTCATCAATATCTGCTTTATTTAACTTTTTTGATGACCTTTTTTCCTTTCTTGAAGATCCACTATTACTCAAAGATGCAATAGAAACTTTCCCATCAACAATTATTTCTTCTCTTTCTACCTTTCTTGAAGAATGTTTTTCTTTCCTATTTTCATTATCAGTAATATACTCTTTCCCTTTATCATTTAATGGAGGAAACCCAGTCATATTGATGGTTCCATTATTAATAATGTTAATGGTGATTCTCATTTGAGTATGACCTTTATAATTTTTTGAAAAAGATATCTTTTATTATTTTTCAAACTGATTTACTATTTCATATAGTTTCTCTTCTTAGTTTTATTTTTTAATTTTGATTGTTTGCTTCTTACTTAGTTTTTTTTTCTCTTTCAATTATTATCCTGCACTTCTTTCTCTTTGTTCCTTTCATCAGACAAATTGTGTTATAGAAACAAAAATTAAAAAAATTTAGTTTTGAAAAACAGGAAAAAGATACAAAAAAATTAATTCTTTTGAAACATTAAATAAATCTTTTGTTTTTAAAAGAAAATTTGATATTCTAAACCAAACAAGGCGTATTGTTTTACTCTTCAGGAATCAAAAAATTCAATGTACAAATTTTGTTAGTAAAATACTATTGCGGTATCTTTTTTTTTCCGGTATTGGTTTATATAAATATTGTCTATAATCTTGGATTTACACTATGTATCTCTCTCTCAAAATGGAGAGTTATCTATTTTATTTTTAAGTCATGAAAAACAGAAGTATCAAGTTAATTTAATTTTGAGAAAATAACAAATGCATTTAATACTTTAAAAAAACATTTAAAACTTTTTTGGTATTATTTGAATAACTTCTCCATCTTTTCAATAAAGAAAGAATAAATAAAAAAAATTATAAAACAATCAAAAACAAATATTTAAATAAGAAGATTATTTTTGTTATAAATTGCAAAACATATCTATTTTTAATATATAATAAAAATAAAATTTTCTAAAAATACAACGAAGTTCAGAAGGGTAAAAAAGAAAAAGAAATAAAAATAAAAAGAACTGTGAAGAATTTAAATAACGAACATGAGCGTGGATGATTATGATTATTTATATAAAGTAGTAATGATAGGTGACTCAGGAGTTGGAAAATCAAATTTATTATTAAGATTTACTCGAGATGAATTTGATCCTGAAAAGAAATCAACTATTGGTGTTGAATTCTCTTCTAAACAAATTAGATATAATGATGAAACAGTTAGAACACAGATATGGGATACTGCTGGACAAGAAAGATATAGAGCCATTACTAATGCTTATTATCGTGGTGCATTAGGTGCAATACGTTTGTTAAAATTTTGAAAAATTTGTTACTAAAAGAATAAAAGTTACTAAATAATCAGTTGTTTATGATGTAACAAAAAAATCATCATTTGAATCACTTGATCGTTGGCTAAGTGAATTACGAGATAATGCTGACAAAAAAGTTGTTGAAATGATTGTTGGAAATAAATGTGATTTAGAACAAATGAGAGAAGTAAGCATAAAAGAAGGAGAAGACATGGCAAAGAAAATAGGCGCTTTCTTTTTTGAAACATCAGCTTTTGATGGTAAGAATGTTGAAACTGCATTTATGGCTATTATTCAGAAAATATGTGATGAACAAACAAGACTAAGAGCATCAGAAACAAAACCAGTTATTAAACCAATTTCAGATAGTAAAGTGGAAATTGACAAAACACCTGAAGAACAACAAACACCGAAAAAAAGTGGTTGTGCTTGTTAAATTTAACTTCTTTTATTTTTTTAGGTTTTTATTTATTTTATTTTTTTAAGGTTTTTATTTTTTTTTAAGTTTGATATAAACCTCAAACAATTTTTTTTATTTTATTCTCAGAGGTTAATGAAACAACTTGAAAAGGTTTATTTATCAATTGTTCTTAATTATTTAAAACACTTTAGTGTTATTGTTAAGTTTATTTTAATTAATAAAAAATGTTGGGACGCTTGCCAAATGATGAAAATAAATCCAATGGCTATTGATAAAATGGGTCAACACTCTTATATGTATATCCTTGAACCTGCTTCTCAACTTAGAAATGAATTAGAAATATTAAATAGAATTGATACAATTAAAATTACTGCTGATTTATTCTTAGTATTTCTCAAACAATTAAAAGAAAAGAGTCAAGACTTTGTCATTCAAAATAGGTTTTATTCTTATAACTTTAAATTTTTAGAAGGTTTTGAAAAAAGGATTCTTAATATCCATCTCTACATTGATGAATTACATCATTTTGAAGGTAATTTTAAAGGGTTTACTCGTCTTCAACAGTTGACTATTGAATCAAACAATGTCTCTCTTAATCTACTTCATATCCTTCCTGAATCACAACAATTTATGAAGTTACTTCATATTATTGGAAGTTTTGATCAACAATTTGTTAATCATATTTCAGAGTATAGAATCCAAAGAGTTATTATCGAATCTTCTCGTTCATTTATAGAGTCACTTCCTCTTTCAAAATCAATTTCAAATGTTTTATTTATTTCTAATGATTGGAAAGACTCAGATGTAAATCATCTCACTATTCATCAAAATAAAGAAGGGTGGCTGAAATGGAATATCAATGAATCAAATCATTGTTTATTTAATCAGTTATATTATCCTTCTAAATTAATCATTCATGGACAAGGGTCAATAAGTGCAAATTATGATATAAATGATGATTCTGAGAATATTGTTAGTGGTATTGATTTTTCAAGTTATAACCAATTGTGTTCACTTTCACTTCAAACAAACTCAGTACCAATTACACTTCCTACATCATTAACTTATTTGGAACTAAATTCCCCTTCCGAAAATCCTGTAATTAATTGTCCAATATTATCTTCATTTAGTCTTGTCAATACTCAAAATCCAATCACTCTTTCATTTTCTACTTGCCTTACCTCGATTAAACTAACTCATTCACAATGTATAATAGAAGAACCACTTCTTCAAATCAAAGAAATTGAATTATTTAGTTCAATCCTTTATAATGACTTTGTAAAAATGACTTCACTTACAAAAATGGTTCTTGTTGAATGTTCAATAATCTTTACTCAACTCCCAGACTCTTTATTAGACCTTTCTCTTATTTCATGTAAATCTCGTAAATCCATTCCAAGTACTTTTCTACCTTCTCACTTATCATCTATTAAAATTCATTCTTGTGATTTCCTTTTTCCAATAAACCTTCCTCAATCTCTTCAGTCGTTAGATCTATTTATAGAGAACGAAGTTACAGAATGTATTGACTTAATGCCTTTAAAACTAAGTTCATTGTATGTAAGAGGTACGTTAATAAATGTGGTCATTCCTACAACTTTACAGAAACTTTATTTATATGGAATAAAAGAAAATCTCAATATGGATTTGAGTCATTTCTCTAATTTAAAGTGCTTTGCTTATGAAAATGGAAAGGAGATAGATTCTTTTGTATTGCCAAGTCATCTTCATTTACTTAAAATTCAGCCAGTTATCCCTCATCTCCAGATAAATCAAGTAGATTATATTCAATGTATCAGTTTTGAAAATGAACAACCTCATTTTAAAAATTTCCACACTGATTTTTTGGGAGAAATATGTTCTATTTGAGTTATTTTTTGTTAAGTTTTCTTATTTTTGTTTATTAGAATTTTCTTAATGTTGATTGACTTCCCTGCTTTAGTTGTAGTAGTTTTATTTACTCCTTTTGACTCAAAAAATCTTCTAAAGTGTCTATTTGTTTGATGACGCTTCCATTTTTTGATGTATT